GCCAAGTGGGCTGGGACAATGTTGGTGGCAGGTGGCCATTGGGGTGACAGGTGTCACAGGTCTCAGAGCTCGGGAGACAGGTTCATCGGGCTCCCTCCCACTCTGTATCCAGCCAGTGGGTTACCAGGTCGCAGGAGCCAGGAGAGGTCAACCGCAGGCCTGGTCCATCCTTGCAGAGGCCCACAATCCCTGCCTCACCGAACTCTGCTGCTCTCCCACAAACGCCATCGTCCCCTGGCCAGTGCTTGGTCAGCAATGACATTGACAGGAAGCCAGCTCTGCAATCCGTCCCAAGTCCTTCCCTCCACCTGCTCTGGGCGGTGCCTTTTCATAGAAGGACTTCAAGGAAGATTCCAGAAGGTTCTCATCTGAAACACAGGAGGACCCTGCTTGGCTCCAGCAACATCCAGCACCGCTCAAAAAATGTGCCGTGCCTTCCCAGGGACGAACATCCATGCTACAAAAGCCAGAAGCCAGGGGACCCCAGAGGGCTCCAGAGGGCCCAGAGAACCCCTTCTTCAGAGCGCCCGTGACCTCCGCCCACACTAGTCCTCTGCTCTTCACCTACGGCTCTGGCCAGAGCTCCCTTACAGCACAAGGACTGACTCCCTGGCCACATCATTCTGGAAACATGAGAAGCCTGGCCCTGCCCGCCCATCCCCTCCTCTGGGTGACCCATGGGGCTCTCCCRAAGGCCTCTCTGTCCCCGACCAGCACAGACAGGCACAGCGACCTCCTGCCTGTCAGGAGGACACTGCTGGACCCACCCCCTGACTGGTTCACACTGAGGGTGGCCAGCTTCACCTCCGGTCAGCCCCGGGAAACTCACGCTGTTCAGGGCTTGGCAGAGGCTCCTCCCAGGGCTGCGCTGGGAGAGTGCGTTTTCTAGAGGGTTGGAGTCAGCCTTCGGTCAGGGCCAGTCTGAAAATACCTGTGCACACAGCCTCTGGGACACCTCGTGACCCGAACACCTTACATCATCCCGGGCTTCYTCGCTGACCACAGACAGTGGAGCAGGCAGCAGGGCCCAGGGGGTGGGGAGGCCCCAGGAGCAGCTCCCGAAGTCATCCACGCTGCCCGGGAGCCTCGGCTGGGCCTAGGGACACCCACTTCCGGAAGCAGAAGATGTGGAGGAGAGAGAATCTCAGAACCGGGGGAATCACTGAGAGCTTGAGTCTTCAGGTAGGTGGGCGGCAAGGGAGGAGGGGACAGAGGCAGACGGCACAGGCAGGGCCAGGGCCTCCCACCTACCTGCAGGCCAGGGCCTCCAAACCAGGAGGCTAAAGGGAGGAGCTGGGAAAAGTCGAGAGCAGACCCCCACCCTGACCCTACTGGGGACTCCCAGAGGAGGCCACCTGCTCTGGAGAGCAGACCCCCACCCTGACCCTACTGGGGACTCC